ACACACACACACACACACACACACACACACACACACACACACACTCACACACACATCACACACACGCACTCTCAGAGAAACCTCTCGCTCGCTCTCACACTGAGATACGCTGCTGTTGCACGCACATTTGGCACGCCAGGGGGCGCTACTGTAAATCTTTGGCTATTGGACGAAGCAGACGCGGCCGAGCCACATGCGAGAAAACATATCAAAACGCAACTGACGTGCGGCCACAGTCAAAGAAGAAAAACATTTCGGTTGCGTTGATATGTCCGATACCCCTTCGAAAGTGTTGTGAAAGGGCCTGACAAGCGGGTGAGTGGCATTTGAGTGTTGTGGAAGGAAGAGCTAGCAACAGCTAACAGAAACTAGACCAATATGAAATCAATGACAGTATTGACAATGATTTGCCTAAATCGATAATTATCGATTGTGTTTATGTATTTTGTAGAGTAAAAGTTGTTAGTGCTACATGTATTTAAATACTTTTGGCTTTATTGTATATCATTTATATATATTTAACAAATATTTATATAATAATCGATATTCGATAATAAGCGATTGCATATATTGAGCTTATATCAAACAGTTAATTTCAAAATTAAATTAAATTAAAATTTAGAAAAATATTTTTTAAATCTTTTTTGATCTATTTTAAATCTTCAAACAGTTAACTTTAAAATTCAATTAAACTAAAATTTAGAAAAATATTTGAAGAATTTTTTAAGTCTTTTTTGATCTATTTTAAATCTTCAAATCATTGATTATCGATTAAAGATTATTGGTATATATGTCCGGTATATGTATATGAATTCATTCACACATCAACCTAGGGTATCATACTAGTCGCGCATTGTGGATTGTTGTCAACTATTTTGCGCTTATTTCAAGCATGTTTTTTTTTGTGTTTTATATACATATTTTTTGTGCAAAAATTTGTGCTGAATGAAAAATACAAAACTTGTGTTTTCTTTCAAGTTTTTGTTTGACAAATTTTTTTTTTTTTTTGTTATATTTGACTTTAGTTGATTTTTTTTATTTTTTTTTGTGAATTTGTTTTTAATTTGCGTGGCGAAGCATTCAAAGTGTTTTCCAGTGGAGGCGTATTGGGGGGTGTGGCTGTGCCTGTGCCTGCATGTGGGCTCATCAAGCAAAGGGATAGATGTGTGTGCATGTGTGTGTGTGTGTGTGTCTAAAACAGATTTTGGGGCCAACCGTTTGGGGCACTTTGTCTCTTTGTGTGTGGCCCATGCGGCGTATACGCAACGTGCGTGTGTGCTTGGCCCATTTTGTTTTTTTTTTCTTTTTCCGTTTTCTGCTGTGCTTTTGTTTTTGTTTTCGTTGACTCTTTGCTGTCTTTGTTGCTGTGCTCTTTTGTCGGTGACAACGTGCGGCAGTCGCCTGCGCGTGTGTTTCACCTGGTCACGTGTGTGCCTGATGATGCCATTTGGCCCATTGGCTGGGCCCATTGTCATGTGGACGCGGCACGCAATCCGCTTTGGCAATGTCTTCATTTATGTGGCATCAACACGCGCCACACACCCACACACACACGCACACGAAGTCCCTCAACGCTCAGTGACCAAGTGCAGCACAGAATAGTATAAAAAAAAAAAATGGGGCAAGCCAGAAATCTGCGCTGCGGTTCCAGCCGGAAGCCGCAAAAATGTGAAAGTCGCACCACGTGGCCGCAGCGCCTGATGCTGCTGATTCTGCTTCTTCTTCCTCTTTTGCTATGTTGTTGCTAGTGTTGTGTATTTATAGCGGCGGCTCATAACCGCAGCGTCGCAGTGGGCGTTTGCCGTGGGGGCGTGTCATACAAATTGAAATGACAAATCGAAGTGACAGGCAAAGCAAAGCGAGTGCTGCAAGGGCAAGGACGGCAGGAGGGGGATGACGACGACTGTGCATGTGTGTGTGTGTGTGTGTGTGTGTGTCATGGACGTCAACACGCCATGTCGCTAGTCATGCGTGGTTGTTGTTGTTGTTGTTGCTGTATCGAATCCAATTGAATGCAACACAAAATTGAATAAGAGTCAAAAGCAAAAGCGTAAGCGGCTTTGCCCCTCTCTCTCTCTCTCTCACTCACCCTCTCTTTCTCTGTGTGTGTGTTTGTGTGTGTGTGTGTCGCGCCTTGGATAAATCATATTTTTCTAGTTGTTGCTGCCTCTAATTTGTGTGTGTGTGTGTGTGTGTTTCTGTTTCTTTTACTTTTTTTTTTTTTATTTATTTATTATTTTTTTTTTTAGTTTTTGCGTTTAATACTCTCTGAGGGCGTCGCTGTCGCAGTCGCTGCCTCGGCTGGCGCTGGCGTTGGGCGTCGGGCGTCGGGCGTCGGGCGTCGGGCGTCGCTGTTGCTGCTGCTGTTGCTGCCCAGCTGCTCGCCTGGTCTTGTCGCCAGTCGCCAATCGCCAACACTCGCAGCCAAACGTCGCGTCGCGTTGCCACGACGCGTTGTCATCTCTGTGCTTTGCCTGCCTTGCGCTGCAACCTTCTGCCGATCCTGGCCAGGCGCACACACAGTGCGACAGGGAGACACTGAGATAGTGTGTGTGTGCGTGTGTGTGTGAGATAGTGTGAGAGTGTGTGAGGGAGACGGGGAGAGCATGGTGGAGCGCATTAATACAACGGCCGCCATGGTCGCCCACATGGCGCCCAGCCGCAGCACCACGCCGGACCAGCTGGCCCGCCTCATCGACGTGCACCTGGGCGAGCTGCGCGAGGAGCTGCCCAACTGGATGCTGGCGCCGTCGCCCGTCGCCGGCCGCGGAGTGTTCGCCACCCGCGACATTGCCGCCGGCGAGCTAATCTTCAGGGAGCGCGCCCTGGTCGTTGGCCCCACAGCGCGCAAGGGCTCCCAGCTGAACACCTGCGTCTGCTGCCACCGGCTGCTGGGCGCCAAGCAGTTCCTCTGCCCGCATCGCTGCACGCTGCCCGTGTGCGGGGAGTGCGCCGATTCGGAGGCGCATCACAATGAGTGCGCGCACTTTCAGCGCTGGCAGCCGAAGGATCTGAGCGAGGAGTGCAAGGAGCTGTCGCCGACGGGCGAGCCCGTGGACGTGGTGAATCCGCTCTCGTTGCGCATCCTGACCGCCGTGCGGGTCTTCTACCTCAGCAAGGAGCAGCGCGCCCTGGTCGACGCGATGCAGGCGAATGCGGAGCGTGGCTATCGCCAGGAGATCATCAAGGCGGCGCAGTGCTTCCGCAAGTTCCCCACCACAGACAAGCCGTTCATGGATCAGCTCTTCCGCGTCGTGGGCGTGCTCAATACGAACGCCTTCGAGGCGCCCTGCCGGGTCGACGGGCACGAGTCGCTGCTCCGTGGCCTCTTCCCGCTGACGGCCATCATGAACCACGAGTGCACGCCCAATGCCAGCCACTACTTCGAGAACGGGCGGCTGGCGGTGGTGCGTGCGGCGCGCGACATACCCAAGGGCGGCGAGATAACCACCACCTACACCAAGATCCTCTGGAGCAACCTCACGCGCGGCATCTTCCTCAAGATGACCAAGTACTTTGTATGCAACTGCGACAGGTGCAACGACAATTCTGTGAGTAGACTCTCCGCTCTCATGCGCTCCATCACCGGATATCCAATATCCGACACTCGATATCCATTGATCGTTATCCGAAAGACTTATTACGACATACATACTTGCATATTTGAATTTCGGTTTGAAATATTTTTATCCCTTTCACCATATGACAGTTGTTATCCGTTAACAAGTCTGTTTTAAAGCAAAATATGACTCAGACTTTGTATTTACTTATTTGATATCCCTTATCCATTATTTGACCAATTAAGTAATTTTTTATTTGATATCTGTTATCCGATATTATTTAACCAATCGCTCTAATTCCTAATCATAATTTTAAAATTGGAAAATCTTTAGTTCCTTCAGATTCGACACTTTTGAGTTTGCTTTGTTCTTATATTCATTATCCGCTGTCATAATTAGCTATCCGAAACAGTTGTAATCACTATAAGCTGATTATGGATTTGTAATCCATACGTTTTGCTACCATTCGATACCTGTTACTCATTTAGTGTTATGCAAGAGATATCAAAGTTACTCTAAAACTGATTTATTGCATAAATTTCTTCATTTTCATTTCATTTTCAATCGAAACTGTCAAAATTGATTATAAATGTTTTTTAACTATTATCCGGCATCAGAAATGTTTATCCGAAATGATGACATTATCGTTTCGGCTCTTTATTACTACGAATTGCATGTTTCTTGTAGCTGGATAAATAATTTGTTGCTAAGAAATGTAAATCCTAGGCTCATGAATCACTTTGCGTTTGCTGCTTAAACTTAAGATCAAAATCTCAAAGCTGGATAAGCGTTTCATAAGTGACCCCATTGAGTTGTTTAGGAAATGGGTAACTAAAATAGTATTGGCCAATTGGGGATGGGAATTGGCAGGGGAATGCGACTGGGTCATCTCTAGCCAGACATAAAACAATTATTGGAATTTCTGAAATGTTTGTGTCTCTGCAAGAAAATATCTTTGAATAGAACCGAAACCGAAAGAGTCTGCAGCTGCGTGTGAGCGTTTGCCATATAGCCAAAGCAGATTTATATATTGTATGTGTATATGCATGTATGTATCTGTATGTATGTATATATTTATGCTTATAAGAATTATATGGCTAGCATTCTCTTATACCTTTATGTACACAACTCAGTTGGATTAGTTGAATAATGGCATTTGGCAGCGAGATGACAAAAATGCGCTTAATTAGATTAGTTGTATGATATTTGCATGAACTTGCGCTGATGGTGCAGAACCGACAGACCTACATATACATATATACATATATATAAATATATGCAAAGATATAGTTATATAGATGTCGTCTAGATATATGTGTCTAGGTAGTGCTCCATCTAACAGTGCGGGAACATGAGCGTGAGGCTCATTAGTGCAACATGACCAGACCAAGACCCAGACCCAGACCCAGACCCACAACTGACAGCCAGGCGACACAGACAGCCAAGGCAGCTGCCGCAATTTCGGACATGACATCCCCCGACCCCCGGCCACCGGCACCTACCCCCAGCCCCACCCCCCGCACGACATTGTGGTTGATTGTCGTATGACAGCTCTCCTGGCGCCGCGCATTCCCGCGCCTCCTCCACTGCCAATCCCATCTAACCTTACCCAACCCAGACCAGCCTAGGCCATTCCGGTCTCTAGCCGATGCGGGCGGACTATGCAAATGACAAAGATGAAGCAGAAGCAGAGCGGATACAAATTGTATCTAGTATATGTGTACAATATATATGTGATATGATGTATGTGTGCAGGTGTGTCTGTGTGTGAGTGCCTCGAACAGGTACAACTGCCAGATTCTCTAACAACTTTGCAGATTGTTTATTGTGTACTTGGAAATATTTTCGCAACCCTATTTCGAATACCCTGAAGATGTCTGTTAAATGGGAATGAGGATGAGGTGTATGTAGGCAGATGAAATATATGAATATACTCTTGAGTCGATGTTGAACTGCTCCTATATCTTCTATCTCTATATCTATATTCCATGTGCTAAGAGATTTTGTATCCAATCAGTGTCTTATAATATATGTTGTTCATTTAGTGTATTCAGATAACATTAGAAGTTAACTAAATTTATTTCCTGATTTTTTAAATAATTTTTAACCATTATCCGCCACTAACAGAGATTATCCGATTTGTTAACATTTGCTTTAAATATTACTTAACCGTTATCCGCTATCAAAACAAGTTATCCGAAGTGTTTACAATGGGTATAGCTTTATATATATTTAGCTAAATTAATTATTAACGCATTGAGAGAGAAACAACAACTAGTTTGAACTTTAAACTAACTTGGATAACTCATTTTTACAATGTTGAGAAATGTCCTGTCTATAAAAATTAGCGAACCTATTTGACTCTCTAGCTTGGTTGCTTTGAACTGAAGTGCTTTGACTGAATTCATCTAAGATCTAAAAAAAAGTTTTTATTAAATTATTTCTGATTATTAACTTTCATTCTCTTAAATAATATCTATTTATTATTATTACTATTAGTATTAATATTAATAATTTTTTATATAATTTCTGCGTGTTTATTTTATTTTTTTTTGTAATAATACCTATTTATTATTATTAGTATTTTTTTTTTAAATTTTAATTATTGCTGAATATTAAGTTTCTAAAAACATATTAGATCTAAAACCTTTCAGTACTGCCATTTCGAGTCGATTCAAAATTTGCGTGCTGCCACCTTTTCTTTTATTGCATATAACATCTGGCAAGCTGCCGCCAGTGTTGTAAAAGACTCTCCACTGCTGGGCGCTGCGTTGCCAGCTATTCTGCATGCATTTGAATTTCATGCCAAGTGGAATCCAATTGGACTCACCCCTATACCATTGCACCCATTGGCCGTCAGCTCGACTGTGTCTGATCGATTTCCATTTGCTGTGTTGCAGGAGAACGGAACGTATTTGTCGGCTCTGTTCTGCCGGGAGCAGGGCTGCAAGGGCTTGGTCATTCCCGTGCAGACGAAGACGCTGCAGCCGGACTGGCGTTGCCTGAGCTGCGAGAACGTCTTTCCGCATGCCAAGATGGCGCGCTACCAGGACTTTGCCCTCAACACGATCAACAATCGGATCAACACGTGCAGCGTGCGCGACATGATCCACTTCATCAATGAGCTGTGCCCGCGCTTCTGTCCGCCATCCAACTACGTGCTGATCGAGGCCAAGCTGAACGTCATCTGGCGCATGACCCGCATCGGCGCCGAGGAGTACACGCCCGAGGAGCTCGCCCACAAGGATCGCTATCGCGAGGAGATACTGGCCATACTTCATAAGCTGGGCGCCGGCGAGTGCACGCTGAAGAAGCTCATCAACGAGGAGATACAGTGAGCCCTGACTGTTGACGGACACCCATTGCGTGCATGTCTATATGTGTATATGTAACTTAGTGTGTGTGTTGTTGTCTGTGTGTGTCTGCGTGCGTGTGTGTGTGTGTGAATGCCATGGAATTGCTGTAGCTAGTAAAATATCTCTATTTTTTTCCTCTTTCTTCTATTTTGTAATCACTCTAGGAATACAATGAGAATAAAAATAAATAAATAAATCCAGCTCTACAACAAAACTGCAATTTATTTTGTTCACTTAGTGAGTGCCACGCCCCCTTGACATGTGGGCAGCTGTTGTGGTGTGTCTGCTTCTCGAATGTGACGTACATAAATCATTTAAATTCCAGACATTCGAATTCGAATTGTAAATAGATCTAAGGCAATAATCCCTTCGATAATAACACTGGTTAACATGATTGGGTCAATCAGGTAAATAGTTAGATAGAGGTTTTATTTGGGAGCCATTCGAAGTGCATACTTGTGGATCTATTTCCAGAGAATGGAACTAGTCGCAATAAGTCAAAGAACAAGTTCCAGTTTACTCATGGAACTATAGAGTTCTGGGCAGGTAATTATTTCAGTTTTCCTATCAACTGGAGCTAGTTGAGCTCGTTTAAAGGAGTTTCATAAATTGAACTAGTTCTAATGAGTTTTACTAGTATGATTGTTTCCCATGAGTACTAGAAATTGAACTAGATCCGATGAGCTTTACTTGTAGAACTTGTTCTAGTGGGTACTACAAAGTGAACTATTTCCAATGAGCTGACCTAGGATGACTGTTTTTTAATGAGTACTACAAACTGAACTAGTTCCGCTGAGAATTATTTGTAGAGTTTCCAATAATGAGTAAAACAAACTGAACTAGTTCGGATTAGCTTTACTTTTATAACTTGTTCCAGTGGGTACTACAAAGTGAACTAGTTTCAATGAGCTGACCTAGTAGGACTCTTTCCAATGAGTACAACAAATTGAACTAGCTGCGATGAGCTTTACTTGTAGAGCTTGCAATAAAGAGTACTACAAACTGAACTAGTTCCGAATAGCTTTACTTCTAGTGAGTACTACAAACTAAACTAGTTAGGATTAGATTTATTTTTAGCATTTGTTCCAGTAAGCACTACAAAGTGAACTAGTTCCAGTAAGCTGTACTAGTATGAATGTTTCCAATGAGGAGTAGAAACTGAACTAGTTCCGATGTGCTTTACTCATTGAACTAGTTTCAAGCAATCCAATAGAATGATCTAGTAAGGTCGTACCTGCTAAATTTGTCCCAAACTGTAGTACACACGGAACCAGTTCCAAGTAATAGTTCTTATCGAACTATTGTGGTATTAGAGAAATTGAATTTTACTTAATTAGTAAATCATATACAGTCCAAATATCGGACAGTTTTGTTCAAATGCGAGATATTCTGCCCACTAATGCCGAGCTGAGTATAAATCCAATTGGATTCCATCTAGACTTTAGTCATTTCATCGCAAAATTGGAATACCCAGAACCGAATAAAAGTTAACCTTTGAGGTGCTTTACTTTCAGTTTATTTAATGATATTTGGCGATCAGTGAGCCACACACATACATACATACATTGTATGTACGTATATATGTATATATATATATATATATATATATATATAGAGGGCCATGTGAACTCGTGACGCCTGTTCCCTTTGATTTGCAAATTGCATTTATCGGCTTTAAATTGTATACAAAAAAAATGAGAATAAAAGAAAAAGAAAAAGTGAAAAATAAGAGAACACAAAAATAAATCAAATTTATCGCCTATTTTTTTTTTTTTTTGGGTTTACTTTAATTTAACAAATTTCATAAACGTACAAAAAAATTGTTGAGCTATTAAAACTAAAATATATAGATAGATATATTTATACAAATTTATAGAGTATAGCTGTGTGTATGGGGTAAATCTGTTATGTCTCTTCTGCTGCACGAGTATATCGACGTAATGCTAATGGCAGAGTTTCCAATTAGAAAACTCAATGGAAACACTAGACAAAAAAAAAAAAATATATATATATATATAGTACCAAGCTGCAAACCCAGCGAAAATGGGGTCAAACGGGTGTACCCGACGGCTGAATGCGCTGTTTACGATTTCTGGGACTTCTGCAGACTTTGCTGCCTGGCAGTGGGCGTGGCCAAAGAGCTGCTTTGTGTATGTGTGGGTGTCTATATGTATATATGTACATAGCGCCAGCTCCCTCACCAATATACTCTCTTCAGCGCTGTAAACAGGGTATGCTAGGCAAGGCTGTAAACAGCAACAGTTGCGTGCTTCATTTATTGTTGTTGTTGTTGTTGTTGTAGTGCTTTTACCCCAACCCTTTTCCATTTTGGCTATGTTGATTTATAAATAATTTATGTCTATAGCTATGTGTGTGTGTGTGTGTGCGTGTGTGTTGCCCCGAACCTAAGCCTACTCTTAGTATTGTAGATATACATACATATATTGTCTAACGCACGGCTGCTCTACAATTTCCATACAATTTTCCTTTACAAAGTAAAAAAATCTAAACTACAAAAAAAAAAAAATAATAATAATAAAAAAAGAGAGAGAGTATAAAATTATTTTAGATACACTCGTTAATCATACGCCTATGATTTCTAGTCAGGTCAAGCTAGCTGAGCGCCAGCTGCTCCGAGTTGAACTTCTGCTTAGCCTTGTGCTCCTGGTAGCGCTGCAGCGGCGGAATGGCGAACATGACCAGGCCGCTGATGGCGATCATGATGCCGGCCATGAGGAAGGCCGGCGAATAGGATTCCGTGATGTCGTACATCCAGCCTATGGCGAGAGAGAGAGAGAGAGAGAGGCATTGAGGCTAATCTCACATCAATGAGGACTCAACTCTTACCTCCAATTGGTGGTCCGATGAAGCTAGCGATGCCCTGGAAGAGCAGCAGCAGGCCAAACGCATTGGTCAGCTTCTCCAGGCCCAGCAGATCCACCAGGATGACCGAGGTGAGGCCCACATAGGCGCCAATTGTGAAACCAAAAACCGAGCAATAGGCCAACAGCGCATTGTAATCCTGACAGAGCGGCACCATCGCAGTGGCTGCAAAACCAAAATACCAGAGATTACATATCAACGAACATTCAATCCAATTGGAGTCCAATCGGAGGCTTACCCACGCCGCACACCGTCAGGCACACGTTGTAGATGAGCAGGCGATTCACCCAGGGCTTGTCCGCTATGTAGCCCAGGATGATGCGGCCCACGGTGTTGGCGACGCCAATCGAGGCGATCAGATAGCTGGCGTCCTTCTTGCTTATGTCCAGCGTCTCCGCCTGGGAGACCACGTACAGGTAGGGCATGTTGAAGCCGATGCTCGTGCAGAAGTTCGACACGGCGAAGATCACAAAGATCACGTCCTTCAGCAGCGAGAAGTTCATCATTTCGGCGAACGTGTCGCGCGTCTCCTTCGAGCAGCTGATGCAGCCGCAGCATTTGGTCATCTCCTGCGAATGGAACCGGAGCAAACGGAACTCAATTATGGGTGATCGCTTAATATAGCTGCATAAGATATAGATCGAGGTTGCCGGTCTATTTCTCTCTTAATTCCGTCTAGCTTATAGTAAGATGATCTCGCTTCTGGTCTTTAACGAGTTCAATTCATATAATAATTTCGGAACTAGTCAGGTCTACGTATCTTATACCCCTTGGAACCAGTTTCCTTAAGCTCATCTCTATCAATTATACTTTGGAACTTGTTCTCTATAAACATCAATTAATTATGCTTTGGAACTTGTTTATCCTTTTAGAAAATCAATCTATTATACTTTGGAACTTGTTCATCCTCTATGAACATCAAACAATTAAGAACTGCCTCTTTCTGTAACCGATTCTATAATCAACATGTAACTGGAACAAGTTCAGCGTCCACTAGTTCTCGGAACTAGTAGCCTCTAGCTCATATCTGACTTAGATTCCTTTGCTGAGGTACTAATTATACCTTGGATTTAACTCATTCTCTACGTAAGTTCACTAATAACTAGTTCATTCTGTTATGCACTCCCAAATTGACTAAAAATTCAAAACCAATTTGGAGCTTGTCTGATATTCCTTGAATATACAAAGATCAAAAGGTACTTCATTTGAACTGGTTCAATAAGGGAACTTGTCCCAACTAATTCAGTGTTTATCCGCTTTGGAACTAGCTCACTAGCAATATATACAAAAGATATTTAGCAAAGAACTGGTTCATTTTTGTTTCATCTGTGCTCAAAATGAACTAGTTCAGTCTAACAGCTGCTCATTTTTATTGAACAGTGGATGCACTTCTATTCATATCGGCTAGTTCATTCCTGAACCAGTTCATTTTTAGCATTTTCAGCGCCGCATTATAAACCAGTTTCGGGACTAGTTCATGCATAAATTTTTGGTTTTTCGGGTATCGCAGCGCGCAGAATGGGTTTCAAGGTCGCATGCCATACGTAACTCCCAGACGGAGCTCGGGTGCTTCCATTGCGTCGATCAGCGGGGCGAGCTCCACATGCCCGACCCGAATATATGTACATGCATTGCAATGCGCTCCATTTAAGTAGCTCATGTGAGTTTAACGACCGTTGACCCAATGAATAATTTAACGGGCTGACAGTCGCGAGTCGCTAAGCCGGCGCTGCCCATCGGTAGGGCTCAGTGTGTTTGTGATCGCGAGGCGGACAACAACGGGAAACCGATCGGAGTTGGAATCGGAAGTGGAATCGGAATTGGAATCGGAATTGGAGCTAGAGTTGGAGTTGAAGTTTGAAGTTGAAGAAATAGACATTTGGCCCCGAGAATGACACAAACACTGGGCGAGTTCTTTGAGGACAGCGAGATCTTTGTCACCGGCGGATCGGGCGTGGTGGGCAAGGCGCTGATCGAGAAGCTGCTGCGCTCGACCAATGTGCGCAGGATCTATCTGCTGCTGCGTCCGCGCGGCCAGCTGAACGCCGAGCAGCGGCTGGCCAAGCTGCGCGACGCCAAAGTGTTCCAGGTGCTGCGCGCCCAGAAGCCACAGGAGCTGAACAAACTGGTTGCCATACCGGGTGATGTCTCGCTGCCGCAGCTGGGCATCGATCCCACTGACTTGAAGCAGCTCGACCAGGTCTCCATTGTGTTTCACTGTGCGGCAACGGTCCGATTCGATGAGCCACTGCGCATCGCCCTCCAGCTGAACGTGGGCGGCACTCTGGAGGCCCTGAAATTCGCCGAGCAGCTGCGTCATCTGCGCATCTTTGTCCATGTGTCGACCTTCTTCAGCAATCCGTATCTGAAGCGCGTGGAACCCAAGGTTTTTGTCAACGCCAAAGGGTGTTTCTAGCTGCCCCCGTGCACGCCCTCTTCGCCCCAGCTAAGCTCTTTCTTGTTCTTCCCCTTTGCAGTGGTACGGCTCGCCCATGGACTGGCGCCTGTGCTTGCGTCTGCTGCACGAGATCAAGGACGACAATATCCTGGACACGCTCACACGCAAGTAAGTTACACAAGAGACAGCTGAGTGTGATACAACTGCATGAAGTGACTCTAAAACTGTGCTCAATACTGTGACGAGTTAAATATGGCTTGATTCATAAGCAGAGAGAGAGAGTAAGAGAGAAAGAGAGAGAGAGAGAGGGAGAGCGGTAATTCGAGCTCACCCTCAAATCAATTGCTGTCAAACTGCAACTGAAGTGACTCTAAAACTGTGCTCAATACTGTGACTATATAGACATGATGATTCAAAAAGCGGGGAAAATTATACCTTTCAATAAAATTCAATTCAAGACTCTCAAAGCGTAAGCTAAACAGTGTTTTTCAAACTGTAACCCAAAGTGACTTGCTTTTCAACTAAAGATGGAGAGAGAGATAGATAGTTAGGGAGGGAGAGAGGTGAAGAGGGAGAGAGAGAGAAAGGGAGAGAGCGAGTTTGAGAGATAGAGAGCACGACGACTCTCAAACTGCGATAGCAAACTTTCTAGTTCTCTCCAAGTTGAGCCATATTACCTACTCTGAATTCGATTGCCTCCAATTACCATAAGCCACACCAATCAACAGCATTTCACTCAATTGAATGGAGCAGCATTAGCTCTCGACTCATCCTAATTCACTTTCTCTTGCATTTCTCCAGATTGATTGTTGGCTTTCCTAATACCTACACGTTTACGAAGAATCTGGCCGAATCGCTGATCAACGATTATCGCACGCGCTTGCCGGTTATCGTCTATCGGCCGTCGATAGGTTTGTGTGAGCCGCTCTCGTTGCTCGATATTCGATAATCTCTAGAGTGTTTTGCTAGTACTTTTCGCTGTGCGCGAACCACTGCCTGGCTTCGCGCCCTCGCTGATGGGCGCCATGGGTCTCTTTTCGCTGGTGGGCGCCGGCCTGCTGAAGACCGTCTATATACGCCGCTCCGTGTATCTGGACATCACGCCGCAGGACATGGGCATCATTGGCATGATCTACTACACGAAGTGCGGCTACGATGCCTACCGCAAGGGGTGAGTAGACTCTGTGGGATCGCAAGAGCCCCTGGCCAACAGCTCTATTGTGTGGACTCATTCTAACAACTGAAACAGTACGCCAAAGGAGCTGCTCATATACCAGACATCGTCGAAGACACACATACCGTATACGTTCATCCAGATGGCCACGCACATGGACATCAAGAATCTGTGGTACAGCGCTGCCTTTCTCAAGAATCTTAGCGTGCCCGGCTGCCACTACACGGAGAATCGTTTCGTCTACAAGTTCCTGTTCATCACCAAGCAACTACTGCCGGCTATATTGGTCGACCTGCTGCTGCGACTTTTCGGACGCCCACCGGCACTATTGGCCATTCAGCGTAAGCTCTACCACACGCTAGAGGTAATGAAGCCCTTCTTATTCAACAACTATGATAGTCCCGGCGTGACGGACTTTAAGGGCATGATTAAGCAGATCAAAGGGTGAGTGACCTATCGATCGATATGTGATTTACAGCATCAACGAGATTTCAGAACTCTTACCTCAGATCTCTGTTTTTGTATCTCTTTTCGGATCTCTGATCTGTAATCTATGATCTTTGGTGTTAGATCTAAGAATTTGAATAACCGATCTCTGAATTGCGATATCTGATTTCTGATCTGTTTTCTTTGATCTTAGATCTTTAACCTTTTATATTTAATCTCTATTCCGATCTGATGGTATATGATATATCTCTTAGCTAACCATTAATGAATATTTGTCTTTTGTGAATGTAGCACCGAGTTCGATATAAGTTATGAGTACGAAAGTGCGCACGACGAGGAGCGCTTGACACTCGCCTGCAAAAATATGATCCAGAGCATACGGCATGATCTACTGAACGAGGATCCCAGCACGTTGGCTCGCGCCCAGATGTTAATGCGCATGTAAGTCGCTCTAGATAATACATCTTATCTATATATACATATACGACATTTCTCTATGATTTTATCTATTTATATTCGCAGTAAGAATGCCATCTATAATGCTCTGCGCTTGTATCTGCTCTATAAGCTGCTCAGATGGCTCTGGTTTCACTTTCTGGGCTAGCCATGGACGACATTTAAATCTAAGTTAATGAATTTTTTTTGTTTTTTTTTTTTTTATTAAACTATATAATATTCTTGGGAATATGCTTGCCTAGCGATAAATGCAAAAGTACAATACGAATGCTTCTATAGTAAACTTTGGAGACATTCAAAATGATACAGAATTTCAATAAATCCCGATATTTGAAATCATCAACTGAGCGGATTTTTTTCATGGGTGGAACTAGTTTGGAAAGCAAACTCAGAGATTCAATTGAATTGAAGCTATGTTTTCAGCAGAGCTGTGAGTTTTATATTTTTCTGAGGTTTAGTGTATCTCAAAGATACTTGAAACAATTTCAAATGTATCTTATAGATGCTCTTTAGACTGTGTAGATACAACTTATTCAATACAGCTCGAAGGCTCTGCACTTTTCGAATATATTTCTTCTTATTTCTCTGCTAAACAAATAAAATGAATCTTTGAGATACTTTTCATCTGAAAGATACTTTGCAGCTGATAGCTAGCTTGTATCTGATAGATACTTTGTATCTGCTAGTGATGTACCTTTTATCTGATAGATACTTTGTATCTCATAGATACTTTGTATCTCATAGATACTTTGTATCTCATAGATACTTTGTATCT